AAAACTTTAAGAAAGAACTAGAGATCAGGTGTCTAGAGCAGAAGTTAAAACAAGAAAAATAGCAAAAGGCAGCTAAACAAATCCCCGGCAACGGCGCCAAAAACTTGATGTGCGGTGCTGAGTGTGTCAACTACGTGAGGGAACAAGTTTTACCCTTAACAAAACAAAAGAAAGCCGCAAGTGCACAGCTAATCAGTTGCAGTATTTAGGGATCGAATCCACAGAGATTTGTGTGCCTGGTATTCTTCTACGGTTTTTAACTTTATGTCTAGACTAAATTGGTTTTAAAGGTTGGTTGTTTTTCTCAAATTAAACTAAAGCAAAAGAAAGTAAATAAATCTATCCTAAAAAGCAAGTAAAGAAATCGAATGAAAGGCAAAAGAACAAGTAAAATATCGAATGAAAGACTAATAAGGCAAGTAAATATCGAATGAAAGGTAAATAAAGCAAGTAAATAATGAACTAAGGAAATTGAAATGCAGGTCTAAGAAAGCAAGTAAAAATCGATGGAATTGTAAACTATGGCTAAAAACGCTGAGCTTTTGGGAACTCTAAGGGATCATAATCGGTTTTAACACTAAGTTAGATAGATTGGGATTGACGGATAACAATATATGGGTTCTAGAGCTAGAGTCATTGTCGTGATCATAACCAACTGTTTCTCGCAACCCTGACCAGTAGGTTTCCACTCTGGCCCTGGAAGGGAGAGAACGCAAGAGCTGCATAAGACTCGTCAATACTAACGATCTCGCCGCAGGTAGGTTTCCACTCCTACGGAAAAATCGCCTGTTTCATTCTAGGGCTGATACTTAATGAAAACTTTCACAACACTAACTATCTAGATCAGATACTAGGTGATCAATCAAGCATACATGCAATAAGAACAAGAATAAACAGAGAACAGGTCGAAATCCCAGATCTATAAACCTAGATGTCTTAATCGATTATGAGAGCCCCTTTCGGGAACCCTAAGCCCAACTCGGGATCTACTCAGACATAGCTGAGTTCGACATCATCATTGGTTTTAATAAAAGTAAAGAAAAACAGTAAAGAAAAGAGATAAAGAAAGCTTCTCTATTGAAGAACTCGGACTTGAACAATCTTCTACAAAAATCTCATAAAAACGGCTAAAGGAAAAGGTTTTCTGTAAAGCATGAGTTGCTCTCCTTAAAAACGACCTAAATGACATGTATTTATAGTCTCCAATACTCCATGGTCTCTAGGGTTCCGGAATTGAGGCTGGAAATGACTTTGGGCTTCAGATAAGTGGGCTTTAAGTCGGAGGTTGAATGTCGCGGTCGGGAGTGCTGTGACCGCGGCAATTGGCTTGTTTCCCGCGGTCGGGAGGCTTCTGACCGCGGCAAATAGCTTGTTGGCCGCGGTCGGGTGAGTTGCTGGCCGAATCCGCGTGGCTTCGGGGCTAATGGAATATCTTGAGATCCAACCGTTGGAATGTCTCCAAACCAAGTGCATTTGAAAGCTGGTTGATTCTTCTATAAGTTCTCCAATTTTAAGGGTGATCAGACGGTGAGAAGGTCTTCGTCTCTCCATGAGAGTTCTGACGGTCTGCATTTATCCAAAAAAGTCTTTTTGTTCCATTTTGTGCCTCTTTATTCCAAATTACCTGAAAAGTCTTTTAAAATCCGGAAACATAGAATCCTTTGAAAACCTTTGAAAACGGAGTAAAAACACCTGTAAAAGATATTAAAATGATCCATAAAAATGGTCAAAATCCGGTGTTATCAAGCTCATCCACAGAGATGTGTGTGGACCAATGCAAAACAAGTCATTCAGTGGGAGCAGGTATTTACTCACTTTCATCGATGATGCTACAAGAATGGTGTGGGTTTATTTCTTGAAAGCTAAGTCAGAAGTATTTCCAACCTTCAAGAAGTTTAAAAATCTGGTTGAAAATCAAGTCAATCTCAAGATCAAGAAGATCAGAAGCGATAGAGGAACATAATACTTATTTGGAGACTTCACAAAATTTTTAGAAGATAACGGCATTGAAAGGCAGCTAACTGCAGCTTATTCTCCTCAGCAAAATGGAGTTTCAGAAAGGAGAAACCGAAGCTTGGTGGAAATGGCAAGAGCAACGATCAAGTCCAAGGATCTACCTCTAACCTTTTGGGCTGAAGCTGTTTACTCAGCAGCGTATGTGCAAAACAGGACTCCAACCAAAGCTCTTGAAAGCAAAACACCATTTGAAGCCTGGTATGGATCAAAACCCTCAGTAAGTTACATGAAGATATTCGAGTGTGTGTGCTATGTTCACATTCGAGACGAAAAGAGAAGAAAATGGGATGACAAGTCGAAGAAGGGGATATTTCTTGGATACAGTTCTCAAACAAAAGGATACAGAGTGTATCTACTGAAAGAAGACAAGATAGACATATCACGAGATGTCATCTTCGAAGAAAATAGCAAATGGGACTGGAAAAGAAAGGAGGTGATCAAACAGGTTGACTTTACACCTGAATCAGATGCCACAAATGAAAGCTCAACAAGAGATGACTTAAGCTCAAGCAGTGAGGAGTTCACTTAAACAAGAGAAAACCACTCACCAGTCTCAAATCCGGTTGATTACAGTCCTGGTGGAAGCTCAAGCCAACCAAACAGAAAAACTCGGTCGCTTGAAGATATTCTCCTTACAGCACCTTATGCGGATATTGAGTATTCAGGAGTTATGGAAGAGTGCTATACTAGTTCTGAAGAACCAAGTTTATTTTAAGAAGCGGTCAAACACTCTGAGTGGAGAGAAGCAATGGAGGAAGAGATACAGATGATTGTGAAGAATCAAACTTGGGAGCTAGTTGAAAGACTTGAAACCAAAAATGTGGTAGGGGTGAAATGGATATACCGGCTGAAACAAGATGCAAAAGGGAACATCATAAGACATAAGGCCCGACTGGTTGCAAGGGGATTTACTCAACAATATGGAGTTGATTATCTAGAGACATTTGCACCTGTCTCTAGACATGAAACTATTCGAGTATTACTTGCCGTGGCTGCTCAAAGAAAATGGAAGCTATTTCAGTTAGATGTGAAGTCAGCATTCTTAAATGGAAAGCTTGAAGAAGAAATATATGTAGAACAACCTTTGGGGTTTGAGAAGGAAGGAAAATAGGATCATGTGTTTCGGCTACATAAAGCTCTCTACGGCTTAAAGCAGGCCCCAAGAGCTTGGTATAGCCGGATAGATGAGTTCTTTCTGAGGGAAAACTTCAAAAGGAGTGAAAACGATCATGCTCTGTACACTAAAGATGACCATGGGAAGCCTCTTGTAGTCTGTATATATGTGGATGATCTCATTGTTACCGGTGACGATGAGAAGATGATAGAAGACTTCAAGACAGCCATGAAAAATGAATTTGAGATGTCAGATTTGGGGCTACTGAACTACTTTCTAGGCATGGAGATAAAGCAACAAGAAGGAGGAATTTCTTTGTCTCAAGAATGTTACTCAAAGAAGCTGCTCGAAAAGTTTAACATGAAAGATTGTACTAGCATGAGAACTCCTCTAGTACCTCAAGGCAAAACTCAAAACGAGGAAGAAGAAGAGTTTGCTGAAGCTGGGATCTACCGAAGTCTAGTTGGAGGTCTTCTATACTTGACAGCCACTCGACCTGACCTCATGTTCTCAGCATCTTATCTATCACGGTACTTGAAGGAACCTAAGGTCAGACACTTCAAGGAGGCAAAACGGGTACTCAGATACATTCAAGGTACTCTAAATTTTGGATTGATGTTCACAGCTGTTGATGAACCAAGATTGATTGGGTATTCGGATAGCGATTGGGGAGGATGCAGAGAGGATCTCAAATCAACTACAAGGTATTGTTTCAGTATTGGGTCTGCAATTTTTTCATGGCAAACAAGTAAACAAGATACAATTTCTCAGTCCACTGCAGAAGCAGAGTATATGGCTCTGTGTGCAACAACAAATCAAGCAGCTTGGTTAAGGAGACTTCTTGATGATCTGAAGTTCACAACTAATGAAGGAATACCCATTTACTGTGACAGTCAGTCAGCTATAGCCATAGGGAAAAACCCTGTTCAACATCGAAGGACTAAACATGTTCAAATCAAGTATCATGTGGTGAGAGATGTTCTGGGTGAAAGTTAGAAGGCATATATTTCAAAGGACAAATTTTCAATTAAAAATGAGTAAGACTCGAGAGATTCTCAATTTCCATTTGTTGAGTGATGCCCATTTGTTTATCAAACCAAACTAAGAAAGTTAAGTTTGAGTTAACTAAAGAGTAGGTGTTTCTTTTGATGAGTAGATTATCTTAAGTACTAGAGTTACTGTTGCTAAGTGGCGATGTGTTTCTTTTGGCTAGTCTAGTAGTAGTTGTTCACTGTTGAGGTTGGTGAAAAGAGAGAGCAGAAGATCGATATATGCGTGTAACAAAAGAACCTTTTTGATCCCAATATAGCAATCTGAGCTTACGAAGGCATAGAAACAACGCCTTGCGGTAAATATAATCGGACTTCACCGGTCTTCTGGTATTTGTTAAATTTTAGAAATTGGAGATTATGCATTCGTTTGAACGATTCTTTATCCATAGACAATGGCTCGCTGAATTCTGATGTGTTACATATTATGCCTAGAACGCTATCAGACCCCTGTAAGAAAATCCCAACAAAAGAAACACATTATCTTAAAGCAATCACAGCAATTTGTAAAACACCAAATAAAGTAGGACAAAAACAGCATTTATGGAAACTTACAGTATTATCCTCAAATACATCAGATATATCCTTAGCGTCCATCAAGAACCGACGATTTCCAGGATTGCAAAAAGACTCCCCACGAATAATTTCTCTACCCAATGCTTGTAGCAGGTTATGGCTATGCATCTCTACAGTCTTATATGGTGATGCTATAGGTATGAGGGATTTTTCAGCCAATATTCTAAGCCCAATGTTAGCACTACCTTTGAGCTAGTCTTTGATATAATTAACGCTCTCACCACTTAAGAAACACGCAATGTGAATCAGTGAATGAATAGATCTTGATCTTTTCTATCTAAAGCATCATAACTAATTCTTAATGTTTTCTCAATTTTACCATCCAGCCCATCTTGAAGCCAGAGCCGTGCCCAAAGATATGGAGCCCTAAGTGGTGTTAAAAAAAAAGCCCTTGATAATTTTTTTTAGTAAAAATCCTAATTAACCATATTTATATCATATTCATATAAAACCAATCTAATTCATATTAAAAAAATAATTTTTATTTTCTTAAAATTTTTTTAGAACCAGTAATAACAATCATCATCGTAAACAAAATAAATAAAAAGTAACCAATCACAAATCAAAGTAAAATCTGATACAATATGAAACAAAATTAAATGAAAAAAAACTTAATAATGAGTAAATACTTTTTGATTATATGATTGTTCAGTAAAAAAAAAAAGAAGTAAGAAGTTTTCAAAACTTCAAAGTTTGAAAAGATAATTTATATAAAAAGTTTAGTCTATCTAATTATTTAAGATACTATGTATGTTGTCCTAATATTTAGTGTGCTGTTAATTTTAGTTGCTAATTTTATTTTATTTAAAGTTTGTGTTTTCAAAACTAAATTTAGGCTCTTCAATTTATAATAACTAATAATGTTAAGAATTATGATTAAATTCAACCCTCTAGTTTAAAAAAAAAAACTAGGCTCATAAGCTAATGTTTCTTTTCTTTGCATATAGGCACGGGCCTGCTTGAAGCCTAGGCAACATCTTCACCCACTCCTTCTTGTCTTTCCTTCTCAAAGATGAACCTAATACATTCAAACCCAAAGGAAGATTACCGGCAAGCTTTGTGACTTAAACTGCGAGCTCCATGAAACCCTCAGGAGGAGAGTTTTGTCCAAAAGCATACCGACATAACATCTCAAGAGCCATATCTTCAGATGGAAAATCAACCTCATGAATAAGCTCAATCTCATGTGACCTGAGAATATGCATATCTTGAGTGACCACAATAATTCTGCTCCTACACCCGAACCAGTCTCTTTTTCCCACAACGGTCTCTAGTAGCGTTAGATCATCAACATCATCAACAATGATGAAACTTTCTTGTTCTTTAGCCTCCTTTCCACCACACCTAAACTATCTAGCTTTATGTCTTTTTGACCTAGAATATCTGACAGAAATTGTTTTTCCCAAGCCAGTTGCATGCCATAATCGTCCTGGATGGTTCTCTTATAAGAGACGAAAGCTCACTACAAAAAAACAATCGTTTTCCAACGATCCGTTACAACGGTTTAAAAATTGTCGTAAACATACAACGATTGTACGACGATTTTACGTCAGAAAAAAAACATCGTAAAACTGTCGTAAAAAAATATCGTCGTAACTTCAACGTATAATTTACGACGCTTTACGAAGATTATACATCGATAAAGAGAGATTTGGTATTAATTGCAAAATCGTCGTAAATTGGATGTAACATTACGACGAATATATGATGATCTATATCCAATGTACAGTTACGACGATTTTACGTCGACAAAGAAGGTAGGTGAAGAACATTTAAAACATGTTTACCTAACTAATGTCGATGAAATATTTTATCGCATAATCGACGTAAAATCGTCGTAATATGAATGTTGGATGTAAAAGCGATGTAAAAAATCGTCGTAAAAGCGTCGTAAAGTCCGAAATTTTGTTATAAATACATCTTCATTCATTCTTTCATTCACAACACATCATCATTCAAACATAAGAGCATCAGTATCCTGGAGACCCATTTTAGGTCTCTTAAACCTTAGTATAGTGTTGTAAATCATGATATATTGGGTTGTCCATTGCTGGAAACCCGAATTAGTAGTTATTTCTTTGAAAAAAAAAAATAATAATATTAAAAGGTTTACTCCATTCATGTGGCTACACGTGATACAAGAGACCGTCTCTTTTATTGTCTAATCAATAAAAAGAGATAGTATTTTGAGTTTATTTCAAGATGTCTATATATGAGCTAAGAAGCTGGATGTATATGCGTAAAGATTCAGATGGGGCGTTGACAGATGAATTCAAGAACGGGTTAGAAATATTCATGTATCAGGCCACAAATATGGAGAGAACAAAAGATAGCGGGAAGATGTTTTTTCCTTGTTTGAAATGCAAGAATACGAAGTATACACTAACCAAAACCGTGTGGACGCATTTATTAAATAGAGGGTTTACGCCGCAATATTTTTTTTGGTATCTACATGGAGAAGGATATGGCAGTAATACTCATGGGAATGCTGGTAGTAGTAGTAATTATCAAAGTCATGTTGATTTTATGAATCGAATTATGGTCATCAGCCTTATCAGTATCAATCTGATCAAAATCTAGATCATGATAGGATGCATGAGATGGTGACTGATGCATTTCATGAAACGCATATTGGTAATGCTGTTGAAGAACCTAATGTAGATGCCAAACGATTTTATGATTTGTTAGACAATGCTAATCAGCCAATCTACGAAGGATGTAGAGAAGATCTGTCTAAATTATCGTTGGCAGCTAGGATGATGTCAATTAAAACAGATCATAACCTGGCTGAGGTTTGCATGGATGATTGGGCTGATCTTCTGAAAGAGTATCTACCAGAGGATAACTTGGCAGCGGCAACATACTATGAAATACAAAAGTTGATTTTTAGTCTTGGTCTACCTTCTGAGATGATAGATGTATGTGTTGACAATTGTATAATTTTTTGGAAAGATGATGATCAGCTGGAGGAATGTCGATTTTGCCAAAAACCAAGATACAGGCCGCAAACTGGTGGGCGTAAAAGGATACCGTACCAACGTATGTGGTATCTCCCTATAATTGATAGGTTGAAACGGCTTTATCAATCTGAAAGGACAACTGCATCAATGAGATGGCATGCAGAACATACACAAGTAGATGGAGAAGTTGTTCATCCATCAGATGCAAAGTCATGGAAACACTTCAATATGGTATACCCAGATTTTACTAAGTTCTAACGGAATGTCTATCTTGGTCTGTGCACTGATGGTTTTAGTCCATTTGGTATGTCTGGTAGACAATATTCATTATGGCCAGTAATCCTAACTCCTTATAACCTTCCTCCAGATTTGTGCATGCAAAGAAAATTTCTTTTCCTAAGTATTTTGGTTCCAGGTCCCAATCATCTGAAGCGAGCTCTCGATGTATTTCTGCAGCCACTCATACATGAGTTGAATCAGTTATGGTATACCGGCGTTCGCACATATGACTGTTCAACGGAAAAAAATTTTACTATGCGGGCTGTGCTTATGTGGACAATAAGCGATTTTCCGCGCTTATGGTATGCTATCAGGATGGACTACACATGGGAGGTTATCTTGTCCTTATTGTCTTCATCGACCTGATGCGTTTCAGCTAAAAATTGGTAGAAAAACCTGTTGGTTTGATTATCACCGGAGGCTTTTACCGGATAACCATCTATATCAGAGGTACAAGATGTTATATAGGAAGAAAAAAAGTGTACATGTGATAACACCGTATTTTGACCATTTTTATGGATCGTTTTGAAATACTTTTTATATGTTTTTAGTTGCTTTTAAGTACTTTTATCACGTTTTTTTAGTATTTGTAGTTTCAAGACTCTTTTCAGGTAACTTAGGGAAAAGCTTAACAAAATGGACAGAAAACCAGATTTCAGCTCAGAGTCAAACTGTCAGAAGTTCACCCCTGATTGAAGGTCTTCTCACCGTCTGATCCAGCTCAAATTTGGAGACCTTAAAGATGGAAGTATCAGCTTTCCAGTGCACTTTACAGCTTGGCAATCCAACAGTTCAATCAAAAGATACGCGAAGAGCAAGATGTCCCGTAAACCAGCTGACCAGCACTTCCACTCGCGGCTAACAAGCATTTTCCCGCGGTCAGGAGCATCCCGACTGCGGCAAACCATACATTCCCCGCGGTCAAAGCACTCCCGACCGCGGCCTTCAAACTCCAAGCCCAAAAAGCCCATTTCTGAAGCCCACATTTGGAGAAACCCTAAGTGACGTCCAAAGAGGTCTTGAGCACTATAAATACATGTCTTAGGAACCCTAATCGATCATCTTCTATCTTTCTTATTGTTTTAGAATACTATTAAGTTTTAGGTTTTAGGGAGAGAGAGATTTGTCTCTTGAACCCTTGTTCTTTCTTTTTCAATTTCGGTTTCTATTCTACTTCTTAATATTATGTCTTTGATTTCATTCATTATGTCTGAGTAGTTTTATTGTTGGGATTAAGGGATTTTCGATGGGGATTTAATGTTCGGTGAGGATTCCATTGGCTATTGAGCTGAATCTTAGAATTTTTTCTTCTGAATTCGTTTTTACTGCATGAGAGTAGCGTCAAGAACTACAATCTGATCCAGATGCTTGGTGACACGAAAGTGTTCATCAGGTATCAGATCTAGTTTGGGAGAGCAAAACAAACATAGGAGTGGAAACCTACCTATGGGCGATTTGTGAATTAGGATGAGTCTTAAACATAATGCATCTCTTCTCTTCCAGGGCCAGAGTGGAAACCTACTGGTCAGGGTTGAGAGAGATAGTTCTCTATGATCACGACAGTGGCGTATTCATACGTCCGTGACTCCAGTTCGAAAAGTTTAAGCTAAGATCTTATCAAATTTCCTCTCTAGCAATGTTTTGAATCGTTCGTACCCCTGAGAAAACTTCCTTGAAGCCCAACGCCTTTTCTCCATTGATTTACACCGATTTTCTTTAAGCTTTAATTCAATATTGTCTTTCCTTTTTTGTAGATTTTCATTTAAGCATTAGAATATCCGTTTTTATTATTTTTAGTCATTTTCGTTAAGTTTAGTTATTACGTCATTTAATTTCCGTATTCTCTTTTAATATTTCGTTTTTAGATTTTAAACACACCACCAAACCCCCACTAAACCGTTTTTGTTCTAGACTTCCTTACTTTAACTTATTTCAAAGGCTTTTTGCAGCAAAAGATCTTCCTTCCCTGTGGATTCGATCCCTAAGTACTACAATTGATTAGTTGTGCACTTGCGGCTATCGATTTCAATTAGGGTAAAACTTGACAACCCTCGACACACACATCAAGATCAACATCAAGTTTTTGGCGCCGTTGCCGGGGAAGGCACGCGTTTTCTTTTCTGCAAAACCCCGAGAAAGGTTAGTAAATCGACTCTAGAACCCCCTTTTCTGCAACTTTCCATTTTTTGGTTATTTTGTTTCCATTTCAGAAGATATGGATCCTATAAATCGAAATATACACTATGAGAAAGGTTTCTATAACACTCCTCAAGCCACAAGACGCAGAGAAGAACCTCAAGCCCGAAATTTTAGCTACATGGATCGATACAGCCAGCCAAACCACTCTTACCACCGGCGCATAGAGACTGTTCGACGCCGGGAAGATCCTTATGGCCCTCCTCCAACCTACTTCGAGCCACACACCTATAATCCTCCACTTCAGAACCCTAATCAGCAAGAGGACAACTTGAGGATCAGCAGACGTTTGGGACGCCTCGAAGGAATGATTAACCAATTCCTTGATCAGCAGATTCTCACCGAGAACACCCTGCTCAAGAAAATTGATTCAATCTCTGAAGAGTTCAACAAAAAATTCGATGAGATGGCCAATCATGTTCGAGGTTTTGGAAGAGCAAACCCACAAGGACTCACAAACACTAGCTGGGATGATCCACCAAGTCGCAACAGAGCAGACAAGACAAGGGTATGACATCATACAAAACTCAAGTGATATTGCTGAATCAAAACAGGAGATTAAAGAAGTCAAAGAGTCCACCTCCTGGTATAGAGAGAAGACAGACGAAGAGTTACAAGAGATCGAGCACAGGCTGAACAGACTCGAGCTCAAAGCACGGGAGATTGATGCAAGAATGGAGCAGATGCCCAACATTGAGCAAATTGAGAGATTTTCTAAGAAATCTCCCAAAAATCCTGATGAAGATGCACATCAACGCCCTGGTATGAGTTCATATGATGCTAGTCTACCTAATAAAGATGCAGGAGAAGTTCGTATCAAGTACAAGAAGGAAGAGACAGACTACAAGCAATTTACATCCGGGGCCGTGGGTCCAAGTGTCCCGACCGCGGCCAAGACCCTGTTCCGCGCGGTCGCGACTCCTCTGACCGCGGGAGTTGGTCATTCAGATGTTCCTCCGGGTTTTGAGAGGAAAATAATACATCTCCTGTCCCAACTTCAGCCTCCAGCACCTAAAAAAACAACTCAAGAAGAAAACCAAGTTTCAGATGAAGAACCAGATTTGCATGAATCATTACCTTGTATGATGGCAAAGGAATGTGTCGAAGATTCAGCTGACTCTTCAATCCAAGAAGACCAGACGTGCAGCGAGATAAAGATGCCATACATTGATTCAATCATTGAATATGGCGCTGCAGCTTTCTTTTGTGAATCATATTCTGCGTTTGAGACACCAGCCAACACCTACAGAGAAAGGCAAGTTCGAATTCTCCATAAGGTCAGGCTACAGGTCAGTTTCTTATCTCTTGTTCTATTAGAGGAGAGATGTTTAAAAACGTGCTATGTGATTCTGGAGCTTGTCTTAACATGATGTCCAAGGCAATTTCTTTGAGACTTGGTATTAGACACCTGCGCAGGACTAGAGCAAAGATCAGCTTAGCTGATGATTCAAATGCAACACCTCAAGGAATAGCTCATGAAATTCCTTTGAGAATAGGAGATTGCATAGTGTCTGTCGACTTCTACATTGTCGAGACGAGAGATGCAACATATCCA